AAAAAAAAAAAAAAAAAAAAAAAACCACAAACGCAGACATACGCCTTTCATCAGGAAAATGGATTCATGCTGTGCTTTCTGTCTAAAGATGACATGCACAAGAGAAACTCCAGGCAGCACTGTTTCTGCTTCTTTCTCCTGATTTTGTCACCAAAGAACACAGGGCCACTCCCACCTCCTTCACCGCAATGCTGGCATAACAAGAAGCTCCCATGTCACAATCTTTTTCCATCACCCACACAATTTTGGGAGACGGTACTAGGGTTCCAGTGGTTCTGTGATGCAGGTAGTGCCTGATCCACTCCATAGGAGCAGCCAGAGCCCACAGGTGGGTATTTTCCAGCAAAGACATCTCAGGAACTCTGCAGCATGCACAATTCTCCTTAGCAAGAAAACAATGCTGACCATGCAGTGGTCAGGGGCCACCGTCTGCACTACTTTCTCTGAAAAGCATATGCTTCTTCTTTAGGGTTAGGGTTAGGTTGAGGGTTTTCTTTGTATAGCCCTGACTGTTCTGGAACTAGCTTTATACACCAGTTTGGCCTAGAACTAACAGAGCTCTGCCTGCCTTTGCCTCCCGAGTGCCCCAGCTAGCATATGCTTTTCTAAAGCCACTCCTTAACTTTGGATCTGTAACACCCAGCTCACAAACAACTTGTCCATGAATCTGACCAAGCAGGAAACCTGCCGGGGTGCACATGTGGTCTGTGTACACGTTGGTAATGTGTAGGAGTTCCTAGTACACTGACAACTAGGAATCAGAAGAGGCTCCAGCTGCAATAAAAGGTGAGTGTAAACTAAAACCTACAATGCTAGCCACTTAGAGGAGGCAGAGGTCTCGGGCTACATAATAAAATACTCACTCGAGAAACAAGCCGGAGCTAGTGGTATAGTGGTACACACTTGTCTGAGGCAAAAAATCCAGGTGAGTTCAAGGCTAGCCTGGACTACATGGTGACACCCTGTCCAAAACACAAAATATGGGGTTGGACAAATGGCTCAAAGATTAAGAGCACTTTCTGCTTTTTCAGTGGGCCCAGGTTCAAATCTCAACACCCACATGGTAGTTCACAGCCATCCTTAACTCCAGTTCCCAGGGACCTGATGCCTCCTCTGACCTCCTCAGGTACCAGACATACAACTGTTACACAGACAATGCAGGTTAACACTCACACACACATAAATTAATCTGAGAAAAAATTAAAAATAAAACAAGCCTCTAACCCTAACACTGTCACAGCCTGTATCCACCTGATAGCAGGGTGTTATCAGAACAGCTGAGTCTCACACAGCCAACCAGATGCCATCAGGTAGAGATGAGCCATTGACAAAACACCTGTCTATTTTGAGCTTCATGCTACAGTCTGAAACCTAGGAGGTTTTGAGGCTTGTCCTACTTCTAGGATGCCATTCAATTCTTTCTTTTGCAGGCACATGGCCTTGAGCCAAAGTGTCACTGCTAGGTCCGGATGATAACAGAAATGCAGAACTCCAGCCCTTTTGTGTTTCCACAGAGCTGAAGTTTCCACAGAAGTGCTGGGCAGTGACTAAAGAACAATTCTAGCAGCCAGGTGTTGGTGGCACACACCTTTAATCCTAGCACTGAGGAGATAGAGACAAGTGTATCTCTATGAGTTTGAGGCCAGCCTGATCTAAAGAGAAAGCTACAGAGAAACCCTGTCTCAAAAAACCAAAAGGGGGGGGGGGGGGACACGACGGAAACAAAAACCATTTAGGAGACACAGCTGGAGGGAGGTCAAAGGTTAGCCTCTGGTCCCCCCCCCTTCTTGCGGTCTTTGAGCAGGTGACCAATAACCCTGAGGCTCAAGGGTCATACCTGATCCCACAGTTATGACTTGCCTTCTCTTCCCAAGCAGGGCCCCATTAGGTGTGTGGAGGCTGCCTGAGCCAGCTTTCCATTCCACAGACATGAGTCCCCAGCACTCACCTGGCCTCACGGTCCTGGACACTGGTCCTACTATGCAGCCATGGCCACAGCTCTGTCAAAAGGCAACTTATGTGGATGTGCTGGCTCAATGTGCAGGCCAACCTAAACCAAAAGACAGAAAAACACTGAGTTCTAAAGAAGGGTTGGAAGACCCAGGAAATTTCAAACATCTCCAGTGAAGGGGTGTGGCTCAGTGGGAGAGTCTGCCAAATGTAGGAAGGCGCCCACAACAGAAGAGAATGCCTTCAATCACAGGAAGAGTGAAATATGTCATTGCTGCCTTCCACAACAGAGGCCAGACAAGGAAATCAATTTCTAAGCCCTAGCAGACATGGAGGAAGTAATCTGTGAACAACATCGCAGACCTGTCTTTGAAGCTCTCAAAACCATAACAACAGGTTGTTCCCACCAACACCCAGAACATCAATGCAGTAAAGACTCAAGGACTACCTTCACAGCAACCCAGGAGTCACAGATCAGTATAGTGGGTACTGACCAGTGGGTATGGCCTTAGGGCAGATCCCACTTTACAAAACAAGGACCTGACGCCTCTGATACTCAGGAAACTATCCCAGTGCCCAGATCAGCCAGGTTCTATGAACCACAACCACTGAAGTATCAGCTTGTCCCTAAGGAAGAGGAGGGTACAAGTGCCCAGGGAAGAAGAGACTGCCTGCCGTGCAGATGAGACATGTAGCTAAAGTCCTTGGGCACCAGGAACATACATGGTACACATATATGTAGGTAAAACACTCAAACACATTTTTAAAGAAACCTCTAGTGGGTTAGTTTGGGATTTGTAAGACAGGATCTCAACCATGTAACTATGGCTGACCTAGAAGAACTCAGAGATAGATATGCCTGTCTCTGCTTAAGAGGTGAGATTAAAAGCTTGCCTCATTGCCTGGCGGTGGTGGCACAGGCTTTTAATCGAAGCATCCACCTGCCTCCTCTGCCTCTCAAGTGCTGGGATTAGAGAGAGGCATGCATGGGCCACCACCACCCTGCAAAACCTTTATTCCTAATCTTGATCCAATAATTTGTGGTTCACTAGCATAAGAAATACTGTCTAGTGGGGCTGGAGCGATGGCTCAGCGGTTAACAGCACTGACTGTTCTTCCAAGAGGTCCTGAGTTCAATTCCCAGCAACCACATAGTGGCTCACAACCACCTTGAATGAGATCTGGTGCCCTCTGCTGGCATGCAGACGGAAGACATAATAAATAAATAAAATCTTAAAAGAAAGAAATACTGTCTAGGAAAACTTGCCTAGTGAAGTCGGGAGTGAATGCAGAAACCTCTGCATATCAAGGAACACAAGGCCCCTTCCATGTAAGGTACTTGCCACAAACACTACCGGGGCCTGACTTTTTGGCTCAGTTCAGGCTAGAAATCCAACAAATGCTGTTAACCCTTACTTGCCTGTCTCTCTGCCAGGGGAAGGAAGCCCTGGCGTAGCAGACCAAGCACCGGTCTCTGCAGGATCAAGGCCAGCACAGACAGACCCCACCCTGTGAGGAGTTCAACTTTACAATGGAACAAAAGCAATAGATTTGGCAGCAGCCACCTTTCTGAGTCTCAATTTGTTCCCAGGCTAGCAATATATAGCCTGATCATGTCGGTGGCACTGCCCACACCTCCATCTTACAGTCCCACGCCCAGTGGAGGAAGCAGAGAAACTACATATAGAGGTCCAAGCTGGCTCTTGCCTTTCACCATGTAGGCTCTAGGGATCAAATTTAGGTTAAATAGTCAGGTGGTGGTAAACACTTTCTGGCTGAGCTTTGCAAACCCCTGCTTGAATGTTCTTGATTTGTGACTGTCTTAATTTAGTAGGACCCTCACCATAGTGAGTTATGGGGCCATCAGTGTACATAGTCACGCCAATCGGTCAGAAGTTAGAAGTTAAGTCCACAACAGAATCTGTTTAAAAATAGGATGATAAGCATGATGTATAAGAAAAAAAAGAAACTTCTGCAAGAATATGGCTTGACTCTAGGGCAAGACAGATTATTGAGTCATACATACATACATACATACATACATACATACATAGAACAGAGCTGGGGTGTAGCTTCTTGCCTGGCATGCACCAGGCCTGGGCTCTATCTCCAATATCACAAAAGTAAATAAAACAAATGGAAAGAGATCCCTTATTCATGGCAAGAAGGTACAATTTTTTTTTCCCAACTTAACTACAAATATAAAGCATTCACCATTAGAAACCTCCATGGGCACATAGCTATGGCATAAAGCACTTATCACACAAGCGCAGACTCACACCCTATAGAGAAGCTGGGCATAGGGCATACTCTTATAAACTCAAAATCTGACTTTGGGAATTAACCTAAAAATATCTCTGTATAGCCCCAAGCTAGCATTAAACTCAATGCCATCCTCATGCCACTGTCAGTTGTTATCAGAGGTGTATACACCACTCTCCCTAGCTCAATTCTGCTAGTTCTGACATTAAATGTCTGCAATTTCAGCCACTGTCTCTGCTAAGGTGAACGGTGTTTCTGAACATCTGGGCAGGAAGATGGCTCAGCAGGTAAAGGTACTAACCATCAAGCCTGACAACCTGAGTTCAATCCCTGAGAGCCAAAAGGTAGAAGGGAAGGTGATTCTCATAAGCTGACCCACACGAGTATACAAGCCTGCATGCACACACACTCTTCAATCCATCACTGTATAACAGTTAACTGAACATGCAGCGCCATCAACTCCACACCCCAAAGGCCAGACCTGTGAGCCAATCAAAGGAACTTCGTTTTTTGGCTTTCTGTACCAGCCTTATACACCGTGCACCTTCCCACCATGGACATTTCACATATGAAACAAAACCTGCAAAGGTGGGATCTCAAATCCAGGTCATCAAGAGATAGGTGTGTGCCAGGCAGTGGCAACACAGCTTTGATCCCCGAGCTCAGAAGGCAGAGGTAAGCAGACATCTGAGTCCCAGGTCAGCCTGGTCTACAGAATGAGTTCCAGGACAGCCAAGGCTGTTATATAGAGAAACCCTGTCTTGAAAAACCAAAACAAACAAAAAACAAAAAACACCAAAAGAAGAGATGGATATGATGCACCTCCAGTCACAGGTATACAGGAGGGTGAGGCAAGACTGAACCAACAGCCAAGGCAACCAAATAATATAGTAGCTCCAAAATAATAAAAATAAACACCAATTCTCTAATCTCCGTTCTAAACTGAAAAAGACCTTAAACATAACTACCAGGCCACTGTGACACTTAAAAACCTAATAAATACTTACCCCACTAGCCTCACAACATTTCAGGACATCCTGTCCAGGAGGTGTTTGGACTGATCAGCTGTCTGCTGCTGCTACCACTGTATCCAGTGGTCCCCTGCCCAGTCTGCTCAAGAGTTTTCCAGGAAGGCACCCTCGCTCCACCCCCACCCAGAAGGGAGGCTGTGCAGTCAGACTCTGCCTGGCTTCAGTTCAGGGACCTACAACATCTGACTGGGATGGAGGAGGAGCCAGTCTGGGGAGCCCAGGATGCAGCCCCTCCAATCAATGTGAAACTCACAAGGACTGGGTGCAGACCCAGCAGAGCCCACTTAGCACTCCTACAACAAGGAGTACTTCTTGAAACTGAAGAAAATCATGCACCTCACTAACTGGGTTCAGAAAGCTTTGCTTTTTTTATGTCAAACCCATACATTTAAAACAATATTAAGTAACCCGTAAGTGCACAATTACCAGCTCAAGGGAGACTCTTCACCTCCCCTGATAAATCATTATGGTTTGGCTTTAACACTGCACCTGGGTCCTCCTCCCCACCCTCCCCACACACCTTTCTCCTATAACCCACCCTGACCTAGTGACCTAATTGGAGAAAAACCAGGACTGACAGGAAGACAGCCATAGGAGCCATGGTTGTGCACATGAAATCTAGCCATGGCACTGTGGATGTCCCATCTCCACCTTCTGTTGTCATTTGATCGATCATCTGGGGCAAGGCCTGGAAGATGTTCCCTTTTAACTCCAAGACAAGGCAGAAGAGCCCCCAGGTCTGTCTGGAGATCATTCGTGGCCAACAAAGGAGGTGTCTTTAGAGGCACTGGCACTTGACAGGAAACGGCTGACTGAAGAACACTCTTGGGTCTGGTCCTGCATGAGCACACCCCTCTACTCTCTGCCTACCACCTGACCTCACTGACAGCTCAGCAGTCTACACCCCAACATTCGGCACCTTGGCCTCCCGTGTTATCCTGACAGACCCAAGAACCCACACTTCTCATTGCTCCTGTATCTGCCCCTCCAAGACTGCCTGCCCTGCACAAACAAAGCTCACCGGGACCCTCTGTGCTAATGTTCCCAGCAACCACACCACCATAATCAAGTAGAACTCTTAACACCAGAAAGGGAGAAACCAAGGCAACACTAGTAGAGCACCAAAGGAGGCACCATGGTACTGGCAGGTGGAGAAGGATTAGCTCAAACCAAAAGTCTGTCTTCCTTTTTCTTTTTTTCCTTTTTTTCTGGAACAAGACAGACACACACACACAGCCTCTCCCTTCTTCCCTCCCTCCCTCACTGTGTATGTCCTAGAACTCACTACACAGTCCAGGCTCTCCTGGAACCAGCCTGCCATGGCCTCTCAAGTGCTAGGATTAAAATATATGCCTCCAAACCCAGCTACACAGAATCATAATTCCTTTTTTGTTTTGCTTCGTTTTTTGAAACAGGGTTTCTTTGTGTAGTGCTTGCTGTCTTGAACTTGTTCTACAGAGCAAGCTAGCCTTGAACTAGAGATCCGCCTGCCTCTGCTTCCCAAGTGCTGAGATTAAAGGGATGTGCCAACAGGCCTGTCCTTCATAATTCTTAATATAACCTCCACACGTCGACTTGAAGTCAGAGCTCCACCTGCCTTAAATATGTGCTCCATCAACTGAGTTCTGCTCCAGTCCACATTCAAATTTCCAAATTGGGGGTTGGCACCTTATTGCCTGCTACCCGTAACATTCAAGCACATAGTTTCCCTGGGACATAGCCACAACCAATGCTCCCTCTGGCTGTGTCTGCATACAAAGACAGAGCTGAGCAGTAGTGACACATGACAATAAAACCAGAAATACTA